TATATATATATATATATATATATATGTATATGTTTGGGAAGGACTAGAGAAGGAAGCATGTAATTAGCTCCAACGTGTACGTGGCTCTGGGGAAGTTATATGCCCTTAAGATTTTATAAAATATTTAAAAAATTTACAGTAAGTACACAATACAACCGTCGATCGAAAGATATTTTGTGTAACTTTAAATCTTGTGGCATAAGTACTATTTCTAGTATTAGTATAAAGCAATTTATGAGCCATATTTCGATTTTTCGATTTCTTTCATTTGAAAACAACCATACATTGCAACGTATCTAAATATAATGGTATAACAGTTCAAATTCTGTGTTATAATAATAAGTCTACTCTATGTACATTGCCAAGGTTTTCTAGCCCTGCTACTCTGCAGGTACCATATTTTGATCCAAATCTGGCTTAGTATCATCTGGATCCAAGCTCAAGCATTCTGCAAAGTAATGCTCCATTGAAGAGTATACATGCTCTAAGACTCCATTAAGTTCATGACCTTCATCAGCATAAGTCTATAAATAAAAAAAAGAGCATTTTTTATGGTAAATTATATACGTTTACAAAGCCTTACCTGATATCGATATAATATATTCGCTTCTGTTAATGATTTTGCTAATTGAACACCATGGACGTAGGGTGCTGTGGAGTCTGCTAAGCCGTGAATTAAAAAAAAAGAATTTGATTTAATAAGTCGAGCACGTTGAGTTGCATCAGCTTCTACGTATCCTTTATAGTTTTCCGCGGGTAGACCTAATATGCGTTCAGTAAACGCAGAATCTAAAATCATGTATATTGATTTATGCAACAATATTAATTTGTACCAGTATTTCTTACTATAATATAACCAATCTGCAATAGGGGAAATCGATATGCCGCATTTAAAGACATCTTGCTGAGTTCCCAAAACCATAGAGGTCACATATCCTCCATAGCCCCAGCCCCAAATACCAACTCTCGTTTCGTCCAAGAAGCTTATGGTATCCAATAGATATCTTAGCATTGAAGCAAATTAAAATTTTTCTTATTGTAAATAACGCCAATATACATTTTTTAAATCATACTCACCTCAAAACAGATATTTGATCTTGAACTTCGACTCCCCCCAAATGACGATATAAAGACTTTTTGCTTTGGCCCTTTGCTCCTCTAACATCCAAGCGTACATAAATAACATCATTTCTTGAGGACATGTACGTTCCCCAGTCTATTCTAAACTTTTCGGAAACAGACTCGGAACCCGGCCGGCCATTGCTATAAAATAAAAGGAAAATACACGATTTAAGTTTCTTATATAAAAAAATATTTTTATAAAACAAGGCAGAAAACTCTTATCGGGAATGACCAACTAAGCAATGCGCAACATCGCTATTCCAACTTGCAATTGCGCTTACAACAAATCTCTAGCTGTTACAGTATTTAAACAATTCTTAGTTTCCATCAATATTAAGAAATTGAGAAGAGTTATCATCATGTTGGTTGGTCAACATTTCTTCGTGTTGCCTACAATCAATACCTTCACGGTTAAACCGCAAAATAGCAAGATTATAGTAAAGTAACGGTTGAGAATTCAAATACATTTTAATCGCAATCGTGAATTTTCGAATATCCTTGAATCTGGAGTACATCTGAATATATGTGAACATGCATAAAGTGTTTCACTGTAGGTGTGCACACGCTTGATATATACGTATGCTATTAACCAAACGTTTCAAAATTGTGACTGATAACGGAATTTAATGAAGCGTTCAACATTCAATTCTATTGAATATTTGACATTTTATAAAAATTCCAGCTAATTCACATATTGGCTAAGTTTAGCTTGAAACAGTCTCTGCTGCCCACACTAGCTGATAGGTAAACGAAAACAAAACTTGAATGATGGTTTATCGAGACAGCAAGCACTATTAGCAATAGCGACCTACAAATGCAAGGTTATACCTCTTATATTGACGCGTTCATAAATACGGGGAGACAGACGGACAAAATATATATACATACATGCATAAATATATGTATGTATAAGTATATTATGCTGTTCATTTCATGATTTGTAAAGTACAAATAAATATTTTCGTAAGAAATTATTGGTACATACACTTCGACAACAACAGGAAATGCTGCATCTCTGAGTTCCTCTCGCCAGCTTGGGGGCAAAAGCAATTGCACTTGCGCCCGACTACCATGCGGTAATGGTATTTCAAATGATCTTTGTATTGGGAGTGCTAGTTTTTGTAACCTTTCTGTGTAAAATGGTCGCGTATCATATAATATTTTCACAAGGCTGTGCGTCCTCTGCGTATGCACCCCAGATACCGGTAATCCTGGACCTTGGCACTCAAGGATGTAGAAATCAATTCCATAGTTTGTTGCTAATCTATTTGATGGTGTTATGAATGCATCAAAATGGGAACAATTTGTATAATAATATCTACTACTCCATAAAGCTTCGCCTAAATCGCATGTTATACACTGTGGCTCGCTTCTGTTAAAAAAAATGGCATTTATTATACTAGAATTTAATAATTTGAGTACACTCGGCTTACTTTCTGGTATCATCATGCACGGGATCCTTCACTAAATACAAATGCCTTTGTCCAGGCTTTTTATCTTGCGTAGCAAGATAGTACACTACATGATTCGTTGTATCCCAACACAAAATTTTTAAAACCTTTTAAACAAATATAATAATATTATTGATTTCACACTTCTTTAAGAAAATACCTCATAACGGCCGTGGGATATTACAGAAATTCTTTGCTGCGATATTGTTATGTGTTTTATGTGAGTAAAATGATCGTTTCCCGATTCCTGAACGCCAGCTAGTAGTAAGAAACTGTTTCCATCTGGAGCAAATACAGGATGCGGAAAAATATCTAACCATTCATCTTCCGGTGCGCGCTCAGAGTGAATCTTAAAAATAGTGAACGTTGGTAAATTATATTTAATGTATTATTAATACTACACATACTTCTGCACATGACCAATTTGTATCCTTTGAGCACGTTGCTATTATACTATAATTTTGTGAGCGCACCATGTAAACTACAGATACTTGATTATTACTACCAGATACCCAGCCAGCTGATGTTAAGTAATAATCTCTATGAAAAGAAAATTCATAATTGTCGCATTTCGTAGACTTTATTACAAATATATTTACTTACTGTTTACTAAGGGAAGGTGGCGGCATTAACTTCACTTTATTTATGGACGTAAAATTCGTTATGTCGACTATCCACAGCTGAACTTCTGGATTCGCAGTGCCTGGTGTTGGGTATCGCACATTTTTGGTTTCAGGAAATGAGCTTCCTGATGACATACCACTACCAGAAATTATGGCACCAGATGATAACCATGGATATGTCATCATTCCGACATGACTATCGTTAAATGAGGCGAAAATAAAGTGACTTCCATCAGTGGATGACCATATAGCTTCCGGTATATCAAAAATTTCCTCTAAAATAAAATATTTTTGTATACATATTTTTAATAAGTAATGTTAAAGTTAAGACCATCGACAATCTCAGGAGGATGGAGAGTTCAGTCAGACATTCAGTGGGAGAACCCAACCAGTGGAACTGATTAATATCGTATCCACAAAATAAAGATACTTAAAATATTAATTCTTTACTCATTTACATTCATATATTTGCATTTTCGATTGAATTAAAAAACAGAACACTCTTTAATTAGTATTTTTATTTTTATACCCTGAACCCATTGAAAATGGGATGGTTTTGATGACATGTATCACTGACCAAACAACACATAGACTAGACTTTAAGAGCAAAGGTTTTCCACGCCGCAACATCTGTCTAGCAAGTCCCGGCCAACTTCGTATTCGCTCGGCTTGGTATTGGATGGCTCGGGTAATGAAAGATAGCACGACGAAATCAGTGCGCTCTAAGCACGCAAACGAAATGGTCATGTATGCGCTTTTCGTTTTTTGTCTTACTCTCTCTCTCTCCCTATCCTATCTCCCTATCTAACTCTCTCTCTCTCTCTCTCTCTCTGTGGGCTCTCAAATCACGAAGCAGAGAAGCGCACAAAAATTGAAATTTCTTCGCGACGATCCCAGCTCTTTTCTTTTGAATGAAGAGTCCTGTTTTCTACTGTTAAGAATTGTGCCAAAATTAATATAAAGTCAAGTTCCCTATTGATGTATTATTTTTAATTTCCTTTTACTTATTCTGGTTTTACCAACAATTTTCTCAGTTTGCCATTTACAATTCTTCCTAATTAGAA